GAAGAAGTTGCTCTTTTCTTTATTAAGGACAGCTTGTTCAGCTTATAGGATAAGGTCCATTTCTTCATAGGTCCATGGTCGATTGATTTGGTTATTCACTTGAGGTTCCAATGCTTCAGTAATAGTAAGATCAGTTTTTTGCAAATAAACTTTGGCAAAATGGAAGATATGAGTCTGGTTCATTTCATACTGAGATTCAGCACTTTTGGTTGACTCAGTATAGTGTCTAATTCAGGTCTATAGGTTATAGTTAGAATTGTAGAGAACATCTGTACTAGCTTTGTAAACATATAAGTGTTCAAGCTTACAAAATCATAATTCTTCTGTAATATTTTCTAAATTATGCATTCTGTTTCTGGGTTCAACATGTTTATATAATTTATATTCAACTAAGGTTCTATGTCCATCACCTTCAGTATAATAGTACTGTCTTCTAGGGTCATCACAATCAAGGCTTTGATGGAAGTCAGTATAGCAACCTTTACAAACAAGAACTTTATCTAATTCTTGTAGGGTTTCTGGTCTTTGGGGGTTCTTACAATGATAGCAATAGTGGGTGTGATGATTGCTATGATAGTATTGTCTTTAGGCTTCAATGTCATTGGGGTTGTATCCACATTGGTAGGTCTGATTCTGGCATTTGAGAGGAGCTAAGGGACAATCAACAACAATATTTCTTATCAAGTTGCATTCATGACAAATATTTTCTGAGCATTGTTGATAAAGATGTTCAGGGCTCTGGCAATTCTTGCAAGTTTCTCTTCAAGAGGCTTGTAGTTGACAGTAGACAGCAATATGTCCTTTACAGTAACATAGGTTGCAAGTATTCTAAGGGCAATTAGCAAAAAGGTGGTCAGAGGATTTATAGTTGCCATATACACAGGATGAGGTAGTTTGGGTTCGTCATTAAAGTTGGTAAATGGTCTATCCTTCATTGTCTGTTTCTGAAATAAGTTGAGCAGTATATGCTTCATGAGAGGTAAGGAATTTTTGCTCATAGAGGTCAAGCTCTTTTGGGTCTGTTACTGTTAGTTGAGCAGGTAAGGCATGGTCACTTTCATAGGTCATTGGTACTGAAATCTTTTTGTTATTCCACTTGAATAAATAACAACCATTCTTCTAGTTGTAACTGGCACCAACTTTCTTGGACTAGTCATTACCAAGAAGAAGTGAATAAGAAGTAGCAGGAACAACTTCAACAATAATTGGGATAGTTATTCCTTCAATTTCTACAAGGAGATCTTTAATAATTTTTAGAGAACATGTAGAAGTACCAGTTGCTATAACAATTAGGCTAGTAGAGGCTTGTTCAGTTTTAAGTTCTAATTCTTTGACAGTCTGATGAGTGATCATGCTAATAGCAGCATCACTATCGATGATAGCTTGGTAGAGTCTGTTTCTAAGTCAGATATTGCATTTTATAGAAGTTGTATGAGTAGGCATTTGAACTAAATTAGCATTTTTAGCTTCTTCATACAGATATGCAGACATAGCTGTACAAATAGAAGGGTTGTCAAGGAATTGTTCCCATTTCTTTGGTGTTATGATAGGAGGAGTAGGAGAAGAATCTTCATGGCCAAGGTAGTTAATATCTCTATAGTAGAGTGAGGATGAGCAAAAACTAGTTCTTCTTCTATCACTATTATAAGAGTCTGAGTATCTGCTTCTTTCTCTAGAGTTTTTTCTTTCTCTAGAAGGATTTCGATAATAAGATCTGTTACGATTTCGAGAGCAAGACCTTTGGTTGCGTCTATCATTTCTTCTATAATTATCTCTTTGGTTGGATCGTTGTTCAGCTCATCTAGTTTTACATGCAGCAATGAAATGTTCTGCATGTCCACAATAGTGGCAGCAATGTAAATCTTTGGCTTGCAGTCTCTTAGAGTTAGATGTAGCTGCATAGTTAACAGATTGCAGTTGGAGTAGTTGCTGTTGCTGGGCCAGGTTGATACTAAGCTTGGCAATCTGGTTTGTTAGTTGTTTAATAGCTTGATCTGTTTCTGTAGTAGTGTTAGCAGCCATTACATGTTCAGTTTTCTATTGTTTTGCAGTAGTAATAGTAGCATTTAGGTTAGCAGGTTCACTAGCTTGCACATTAATAGAAAATTCAGGACATAATCCTTGGATAAATAATTACTTGATGAAGTCAATAGGAAAAACACCACCAGGGTCAATTCATCTTTTTAATTGTCTAAAACAATTAATATAGGCATTTACTGTGTCTGAGCCTTGTTTGATGTCAAAAAACTGTTTTTACCAAATAGCTTTTTGTTTAAGTATATAGAAGTAAAGCCTGAAGAGATGTTTAAAGCTTCTGTCTTGGTGGGCATTATCATCAAAAGCATTTGGGGCAGGGTTAAGACTTTGCTACCAATTTAGTACAATTCTTTTTAAATATACAGGAGTTAGTTCCAATTTTCGAGTAGCATCCTACTTGTTAGTGATAGCAGCTCTTCGAAAATCTTCAAGCCATTGTTCTAGGTCTTGGGTTCTATCACCATAAAAGAAATCAGCTTTTATAAGAGATTTTTCACTTCTATTTAGAGCATTGGTAAGGTTAGCCATAGCTTGTGCAGCATTTTGTAAAGCTTGTTGTGCCATATTGTCAAGTAGGTCAGGAAGGTTATTAAAAATAGGTAGGAGTGAAAGAAGAAGTTGAAGTTGAGGTTGAATAACAATAGGTTGGAATTGGATAGTGATAGGTTGAGGTTAAATAGGTTGAGGTTGAACAGCAATAGGTTAAAGTATAGGGATATCAAGTTGAGATGGAGGTGAAGGAGAAGGGCTATTTTTAAAATTTTGTTGAGGTGAGTCAGTAGGAGTGTGGTCTGAGCTAGAGTTTTCTGTAAGTTCTACAGAAGCAGTAATATATTCTTCTGTTTCTAAATTGTTAGTATATAATAAAGAGATTTGTGAAGTCCAATCAGGAGTATAGTGACTTTTAAAAAGTTCAGTAGGTGTAACTAATTCACTATATGGAGCTAAACTATCTGCTGGGTTATGTAAGAAGAGGATATTATCAGTAAAAGTAATATCAGTTGTAGGTAGTAGGATAGGACTTCCTAAATTTTCAAGATGTTAACTAAATTCTCTTGGTTTTTCAAAACTAAACTTAGAGGAGCGTCAAGATGAAGGTTAAAAGCGGTTTGATATTCAAAAGATATGATAGAAAGTTGAAAGAGGTTGGTATATCTTCTAACTAAAGTTAAAGCAATTGTACGAGGGTTACCAAAATCTTGTTAATATCGACAACTAAAAATAATATTTCTAATGCAGAGGTGAATTGTGATTCAGTTTGGGTATAGGGTAGTAAGAATGGTAAAGTTGTTCTGAGTTTTGAAGGAATGATATTGAGCTGCAAAGTTGGTTTAATACCAAGTCCAAAATTGACCAAAATCTGAGCGAGAGCTAGTACATTGAGGAAAGTAACACTGAAGACAAGATAAATCTAGATGCTATGCTTGGAGTACGTCTACTGCAAGGTAAGATCCAATTAGATATGCTTGTTCATGGCTTTGGATGTTTTCGTTATGGAGTTCAGCAGCAGTGTGAACCATAAAAGAAGATGTGTTTCTACATCCAGGACTCTGCTAGGATAACTAATATTTGTCCAGGTCTCTTGTTGAGATAACTTTTTTAATGCATCCAGGTCTCTTGTTAGGATAACTTTTCAAATATGTCTAGGAATGTTTAGTCTGGAGTAACTTGTTTTCTCTAAAAATTTAACTTTTTCGCCAAAAAGCACTAAATATTATAAGTGAAAGCCTTCTTAATTTTCATACTATAATGACGACATGGCATAGGGAATTCCTTACAGGTATATGCGGTGTCCAAGAGGGAAGTATAGCTTCTGTTAGACATTGTCGAGAAACTATACCCTTCTCTGAGACAGTCCGGGAAAGGTAATGCAATACTAATAACTTTATTTTATTTTACTAAGAGTTGATAAATCTTACCTGTAGAAATTACCCTAGAGAGGAAGTATCAATATAGTTTATAGTCAAAAGCTGTTTATTAAAGTAATAATAAAAAGAACTATCCTTAGGTTTCTGTTCCTAAAAAATCCCAAGATGTGTTTACAATATTAACAAGAAGAGAAGTGTCTGTTACTTAATTGCATTTAGAGAATTTAACAGAGTTTATATATCTGTGAGTTAAGTGACTAAGCAACCAAGCAACTAAGTGACTAAATGATTACTAAGTGATTAGAAGGTTCTAACAACTAATGACTAATGATTACTAAGCGACTAATTACTAAACGACTAAGTGACTAAGTGACTAAGCAATTACTAATCAACCAGAATGTTCTGGCAACTTTTACTAATAATAATAATACAATAATAAAATAACTAATACTAAATGATAATAATAATAATATAATAATAATAATAACTAATAATAATAAAATAATAATAATTCGTTTTATAACAATATAATTTTATAACCTAATGTTTAAAAACTTATATCTTGATGAGTTTTTGCCCAATTTTAATAATTTTACTATTATTAGAATCAGAAAGACCTAGTCTATAAGGATTAAAATTTATTTACTTAATATATTTTTTTAAAAAATTAAATATAAAAAAAGTGATAAAAATTTGCAACTAATTATATATAGAAATGATCAACATTGTACTCTACCTTTAAGAAAAATCAAAAAAATTTGTCTGTGATCACATGATAATTTTAAATTGCGATTTTCTCACGATCATGGGATTTTCCTATCGCCACCTTTTGCTGTGAAGCCTCCATATATGTAAAAATAAGCCCTTTTAGTTAACGACACTCCATATATGTAAAAGCACTTGTCGAGACCGTGCTAAAGACTAATAATATTTAGATATTTAAAATGTCACAATTAAATTTTTTGGTCGATTTGATTGGCTGATAATATAAGGAAGTCTTCCAGGAATTGCTCTGATTGGTTAAAATAATAGAGTTGCAGATTTTGGATAATCAATAAGTGATACCCCGATTTGACTATATTGCTATAACGGATAATGTTTGGATATTTTAAACGTTCTCTTGACGTAGCTAAAGAAACAGGTGCTAGAAGTGAGTATAAAGTATATCAAAAAGCCGGGATTTAAGCCTCATATGAATTAACAAAAACTCAGTTTTAAAGGCTGACCCTTTACCTTGGAGTAAAGAGCAATTATTATTTACGCTAAATTCTAAAGAAGACCTCAAAAAATGGGCGATCGGATGCGATAAAGATATCGGCGGTATGTATCTTTTTAAAGTAGCGAATGTGGTCTGTGGTAGAAAGTATAACGAGTTTTTTTTTTTTTAAAAAAAAAAAAGGTTATTCAAATGCAAGTTTGGAACTTACACCGGAAGGCAAAGCCAAATTTTCCGGAAATATTTCTTTAGAATTACCAAAAAATAATCCAAGAATAGAAAGAAGCGGATACGCAGCTATAAAGTCGAAGGTAATTAAATTAAAGAAAAAAGAATTTAAATTAAACTTACTATTGTATATTTTTTTCTTATTTAAACAAAGAATCGTGGTTCCACATTATTTGGTACACCATGTTGGGATACAACACTGTATCGATATTTAAGTATACGCGCAAAAGGTGATAATAAAAAATATCTTGTAAATATACAAACAGACGGACCTGTTATAAGTGATTTATTTCAGCATCGATTATTTCTGAGGAAACCCGGTGAATGGGAAACTGTTATGGTAAATAATTGGTACTAATTTTATCAAATTAATTATAATGATGAAAATTATGTATTAAGGTAAAACATGAATTCATTAAAAGATTCCATTCACGGATTTCATTTTAACAAATCACGGGATTATACAAGAACCACAAATTGAAATGTATAGAGAAAGAGTTAGAACTATCGGGTTCTCATTGTTAAGGCAAGGAGGTCCTTTTTGTTTGGAACTTGATTGGATCAAAATGATAAATACCGATGAAACTATTGGTAAGCACATAAATGTTCTTGCAAATTCAAACCGATTTATCATCTTTCTACTATTATTAATTATATTATTATTTAATCGGTTATAGGTGATCATTACAGGATACATTTATAAATAGGTTCTTATATAGACTTGCAATAATATGTATTAGTAAGGCCATGCAAAATTAATTAATTGATTTTCATAATCCGACCGGGTCAAAATTCGAATACTTGTAAAAAAATGTTGTATGTTTTAATAACCGGATGGGTTTTTACAATAATTTTATAAAATGTTTATATATGAAATTCTTTTTTAAAAAAAAGCGGCCGGCCGGGTCTGTTTAATAGTGTTCCGCACGGATCGGATCGGACGGATCTTTTTAAAGATCCAGATCCGATAGGAAAATTGTGCACTATCAAATAGATGATGTATATTAATCATTACGTAGCAATATATCGCATATCAATATATAAAGAAAACTATAGATTATATTTCGCTATCATTAGCTGCAACCGTGCCAAGAATACTCAATTAACCGCAAAATTTTTGTGTAATGGTGTTAAACTTTCTGAGGACACTGTACGTACATAGCTTTAGACTATCTCCGTAATAAGCGTTACATTGATTATGCCGTCTGAATAATCATTCAATTAATTTTTCATAAAGTATCCCAGGAGTAATGATAACAGCTATAATGACTTTCAAAAAAAAACTTTTGAATCAATTTACTTCCCAAGCGAATATCTTATAATTTACAATAAATAAAAATTATCAAAAAAAAAAGCATATTATTTCCGGATACATTGATTTTATTTACTGATTTAAAAAATTCCTCTTTATGTATATGCATCTACAAGCTACTTTGTTTAAATTTGTAAGTGACATATTACCTTTGCCCATCATACGATAAGTATCTGTTTAATGCACATGATTCATCGCATATACTATCATGCAATAGTGTTCCTATGAATTATTAATATCTAATTTCAATATTTTTTTTTAAATGTGCATGTGATTTTTCATATCTACCCATGATAAAATAAATGTTTCTATAACTATTTAATGCAAATGTGTTATCTAGTCTGATTTCTGATAATTTATTTAAATTAGCAAGTGACTCATTACATCTGCTCAAGTATAACTTTAATATATACTTAGTAAAAATGCTTAATTGATTTAGAATTAATAAAAATAATATTAAGTTATATACATATGGTTCATCTAGTTCTTTCTACTATGATCTCAAATACATTGTTATTTATACTGTCTTTTTATTTAATTGATTTTACTTTTCAGTTATTATATTATTACTAATACTAAAAACTTGTTTACTTAGAACATTTATAACAGGTATTAGAAGACAGTCTTTAACAAATTTGAATAATTAGTTATTACTAATCTAGAATATCTATGTGTGGATCTACTAGTAGTACATTTAAGTATATATCAAGTTTACTTTGATGTTTAATATAGTCTTATTTATAAATTTGTAATATTATATTTGTTGTAGATATTTCAGCAATTAAGCTTATTACATTTTGATTAAAAACATATATATATTGATTTTTATATTTATTTTTAATGTTATAAAATAATATATAAACTAGGTGCTACAAAAAAAAATCAATTTGACAATTTTTTTAAAAGTTGTTTTTTTATATAAATCAATTTAGAACTAGGAAAATAGGAACTGTTATAAATCTGAAGTATAAAATATGCAAAAATTTGTCATATTATCTAATCTAAAAATTTAATTGGTTATCTTTAACAGATATTGCATAAAATACCTTGATCACTATATCAAGATCACTGGATATTTAGTAAAAATACTCTGACTGTATGTGTACAAATAAAAATGAAGTTTTTGCTAATACCTAACGGATCAGAATATTATTATTACAAATAAATTAGAAATATAAACATCTTTACTATATTTCAGACAATAAGATTAGATTTATTTTTTATTTAAAATACAAAAGTAATTATATTAATAAAATTTTAATATGAGGATGATGATCCTAGTATAGTGGTTGGGTTGTCATCCTCCAAGTGGCAGGTCTAAGGTTCAAATCCCACCTACGACGAAATTTGAAAATTATATCTGTGTTACAGTAACTGTCTCCTGTCGATCGGTTGGCCTCATGTGGCTGTTACCCAGGTACACCAGGCCAGGTCCCCCTGGCTTTGGGAGCTCAAGGCATCTATGTAAAGTGTAACGTTACACATATATTGAAGAATGTTACCAGTGTTGCATAAGACTTTAATACAAACCCACGATAAGTCCACCGGACATGGAAGACTAAGGAACCGAGGTGACAGAAACCCACTTGGAAATTCCCGAGTAAAGAGGTAGCATGAACTTTCGATAGTACTATTGGACCGGTTGAAGTCCATGAAACACCTTCATAGGAACCAAAGATTAAAACTGGACAACAAATATGTGTAGAGGAGCATATAACCAACCAGGCTGCCGGGTTCGCCGGAGAAAAAGGATACAGAAGTATACCATACCGGGCCATCTGGATTGGTAGTCTGGATAAATGAAACCGACAGTTCCGAGTTGCGGCTAGTAAGAGATGATGGAGAAGATGCCAGAAAAGATAGGTACTGAGGTTCTAGTGAACTTTACAAGGGTAGAAATAGTATAACATAGTGGTTAAACAGGTAACTCCTGTGACTGCAAGTGTTAGGTAACTATAGCGTGTTGTATAAAACTAGGTTTAGATATGTAGGACATAAAGGCTCTAGTAAGTTTCCTATCGAGGATAAAGTAGTCTTAAGGAGACTGATAAGCATCGGAAACTTGGATGGATGGCGCCTTGAGATGTTCTCGTGATACAAAAAGGATTGCATATGTAGAGGGTTTAAATAGGCAAGACCCCTAGTTGGCTTGCAGGTATGGCAACTAGTGTAGAACTTATATAGTAA